AATATCTGCCTGATGTTCTTCACCTGCAAGGCAATTCAATACTGACTACATAAGAAACGAGAAGACATAAAGGAACACGGGCAATGTAATAAGAACACCAGGGAATAGTATCTAAAGAGTAGAACTAATTACAAAAAGACAAGTTAAACTTAGTATAAGCTACCTCAGTGCAGGCTACAGGGCTGGAAACTGAAACATAATTCTAAATTATACTTCAAAAGGAAACGAATGTTCTTATTTAGACATCTTAGAGCGTCTTTGTGGTTTGTTTGAACTGATTGGGATGCTCCACACGTTTGCTAAGCTGTTACCTTTTCTTTCTGGCAGTCCTTTTGTTTGCAGGGCATCATTACATGTTAACTCCTGCCTCACTGTATGCATGGCAGAGGGAATGTTTTAATTACATCTTATTTACCAAAGATCTGCTCACTTTAAATTATATTTTTAACTCATGACTGGGATGCCTCCTTCCCTCACACTTCACAGGAAGTCAGAGATAATCAGCATCAGGCCCATCTTTGGTTGATTTTTTGTCCGGACTGCAACGGACAATTTACCATATTTCCTTTTTTCTTTCACAAAATGTCTAGAGTTTACGACTTACTTCTTGGGGTCACAATTAGCTCCTTTCTGGNTCTGCACCTTATATACAGTATTTATATTTAAGGCTTTACTGATGTGCCACAATAATGTCACCAAATGTTATTGAGTTAAAATAAATATTGTGGCTTTCCAAGTTAACATTACAGTAATTGATATGACTGTGATTAAATCAGCATATACTTCTACCAGGGGATGCCACCCCTGAAATTCTCCTGCCACCCTCTTGCCACGCCATGAATATTTGTCTAGATCCGCCCCTGGTTATTATATGTAGAAGATATTACTTTTTTCTCCGTCATGTTGTTTCCATAGCAACAACTTCAAACAGGAAGTTAACCTAAATTACATTTAAGACACTGCAACGAAAAATAACAAAAACAATGTAAAATGTTTGTGAAAAACGTGTGCAAAGTCTCTGAAAACGGAGCAGTGGCTGCGATGCTAGCTTTGCGGCTAGCGGTTAGCATTTTCAATGGAAATATACATCGAAACATCATGTTTCAGTAAAAACAAGGCCCCACTGATCATCNTTACATGCATAGCTTTTCCACCATAGATCATCAATAAATCTCTGAGGGTTACCCCTAGCCGATCTCCAGAGGTCGAGAGGCTATCACACAAACACACACTTTTTTTATTTGTTATCGTCATCTGGTCGTTCTATTATGGCACAGATATTCCCACAACATGAAGAGCTGATTGAGAGTGTTGTGAAAGATGGTTTTAAAGAGTGTATCACAAACATTGCCATTCTATTTCCTAGAGCCTATGTAGATTTTGTTGTCCTTTTGAAATGAGGAAGACTACACTTCTGCCTACTGCTGTTATGCAGAGTAATATCCTCTTATCACGGTCAGAGGTATGAAGTTTGACATAGGTTTTAATCTGTGGGTAGTTTGAACTTCTGGCTTAAACGGAGCAAACGTGAGGATACCATACGCTCGCGAACTGGATTCTTTGATGTTGGTTTGGTGATCAGCAAAAAACATTTAGTCTAAATTGCTTTGGGGTGGGGATGATGGCATAAACAATGTGACAGGGCTAAAGTCAATGTATGTTTTTATATTTATACTAGCCTAATTATTGATATAGTTGCAATCATTTGGGTGTAGTGAAATCGTTGACACATATTAATGACATTTCAAAAGTTGGTTCCTCCTGTACAGGGTATATTAGAGATCAAGGGTTAAGGTATGTTCTCTAGTGGTGTGTGGACAGAAGGGTGCCGAGGTGGCTGACCAATGAAGATAGAAATACAATGTTATTACGCCGCAGGTGCAGAATTAGTCGGAATGATCTGTTCGAGTGATTTCTCGACGGTGTACTGTGTTGTCCAGTCTTTTGGCTGTTCTGCGGAAATCTTCAACACGGCCGTGGTTCTTGATGCTCAGCTCAACATCTTCCACACTGAGGAAGTAGAAGGGAAAGAGGGATAGGAAGGCATACTTTCTTTTGCTGATAGAAAGTAGTTATAAACAGTTGGGAAACAAAGTATTGCTTATGTCTTTCTTTTACATAATACCTATTATCATATAATCATAATACTTCCCAAAAAAATTAATCGGAAAATGAATTAAATTCAACTGATTCTACAGACTGAAAAATATGAATACGGACGTAAATGTACCGGATCATCTTATTCAGCAGCAACCAAGTTAGGATATCTAATAACAACACGTATAGAGGGTCCACATTCACTTTATCTAACTATTTGTGCATTCATATTTTAATTGACTCATGAATGTCCATTAATAATGGCTTCATATATACATCTATAAATATTAGTATTTTTAAATCCAAAATATTGTTAGTAAAAAACCAACAGCAAACTTCAATGGAAAAGCGAATGCAGTTAGAATGTAAGTTCTAAAAAAACACCTATACTGTGATGCACATTTGTTGGAGTCAAATTCTTTCGGCTTTGTTAGAAAAAGTCACCACTTTGTTCGCCACTTTATTGTATTGGGTTTTGCAGAAACAATCGGAGATTTTAGAGGCAAACTATAAGCTTTTGTAATGAAATGGCTTTGTCCGAGAGAAGTAAATAGACTGTATTATGATTACTTTATAGACATATATATATGTTATATTTACGTTTGTGCATCTACATTTGCGCAGTTAGTTTTTCCACAATGGGGCCTGTCTTTTTGTGGATCCCCGTGGCATAGTTGCTACATTATTAACAAACAAACTCAACATGTATCTCATATATTTATTGGCATGACACAAACTAAAATTATTCCATATAACATGTATCTAGATTACAGGAAGTCAATGATATAATCAAATGTGTTGATTGAATCACTTCAACAATAATGTTATGTGATTTTAGTAGCACTTTAAAATGCCAAATTCAGTGTAATATCCATAAAAACTTTCAATTTTGGTAATAGTCAGTAACGTATTGGTGGGTAACTCTTTTTTTTGGGCTGATAAGGATGTCTTTCCTATAGCATTACTCATCATAGCAACTCAATCATGTTTTTCATAAATTGTATCTGTTATTCCCCGCGTGATATAATGATCTTTTAGATACCGAGACTCTACCTTTTATCCAAACAGTACTTAATATTAAAATTGCTCTTTGTTCCTGAAAGTAAATATGAATATATTCAGTTTTGTTCATATTTTCTTTTCGACTTTTTATTATACGAGTAGTACAACATTTTTGTAAATATTTATATTAATTTTTTTTTCCTTTTTCAGATACTCTTTCGAGCTACTGTTGATATGAATACATCTTGGATGTTTATGCTAATTATTTGTATTGGTATTATTGTATTTTTATATTCCTCCTAGATATTTTAATTAATTTTTAATGTCCCATGTCATTTGAGCTAAAACAAATGTTAACGACTACCGGTTCTCTGTATAACTAAATAATCTATCTAGTCCTCTCTATTCCCTCTCAGCTGACAGACCACGCAGCAGGAGACATGAGGGGGATTTACGTAATCAATGATCCATATAGGGCTCACACACGGAGCCTGGACCCCCACAGTTTATTGTATCCGGTGTCGGTACCAGATGTGTTCGGGGTACCAGATGTGTTCGGGGGCCGTCTCTTACCAATGACGTCACGCATTGTACGCGCATTGTGATTGGCTGTACGGTAATTTACCCCAGGGGGCTCGGGGGAAATCACATCTACAGATCATGACGAAACCGAATTGAAGTATATTCCTATACTCCTAGCGTGTGAAATGTTTGAGAAAAAACATGTTAAAAAAAACATGCAAACGGAGCAATGCTGTACGCCATTGGCTGTACGGACAACTCAAGAGGACCATCATACACGGTCAAATTCCGAACATTTAAACATAGCCTACACTTCATTCTTTACTTTGTCCGTTATTATATGTAGAAGATATTACTTTTTTCTCCGTGATGTTGTTTCCATAGAATCCTTTTCCGTTTCACAGAACACAAATTGGGTTATTTACATAATTATGTTTACACTACTACTCCCATACTCCTAGCGTGTGAAAATGTTTGTGAATAACGTGTGCAAAGTCTCCGAAAACGGAGCAGTGGCTGCGATGCTAGCTTTGCGGCTAGCGGTTAGCATTTTCAATGGAAATATACATCGAAACATCATGTTTCAGTAAAAAAAAGGCCCCACTGATCATCTACTCTCTGAGACGATTCGAGGGATGCCTGACTTGAGTTTCTAGCACTAGGGAAAGTGGACAAAAGTGCCCCAGATCAGCCTCTTAATTTACCCAGGGCCTAGTGCTTAGCTTTGGGCATGAAAATTCAGGAAACTACCCTGAGTATTTTATTACATATCTCAACTTTGGAGAGGAGTTGGGGGACAAACGACACATCAAATCACATCTCCACATCAAGCCGAAGCTAATTAGAATATTGTTGACTGCCTAGCCTCCGGGGAAATTGGTATGCGTGACGTCATTGACGTCATGACGTCGTGATCGTCATTGGTAAGAGACGGACCCCAAACACATATACCGACACCGGAAAAAGAGGGAAAAAGTACCCGCTAGCCGGTGCTACGCTATATGGAAAAGCCACCAAAAACTGGCCTGGCCGCTTGAGGACGATTAAGGACGTTTAAACGGGGCTACCCGCTGCAGTGGAAATGCGCCATAAAAAAGCTATCAGAAATCTGTGGCTGATTCAGAATGCTGCTGCTGGAGTTCTCACTGACACTAGAAAAGTGGATCACATCACTCCGGTTCTGAGATCATTACACTGGCTTCCAGTCGACCAAAGAACGGATTTTAAAATACTACTGCTAGTTTTTAAATCACTAAATGGCTTAGGACCGAGGTATATAGACGACCTCCTCCATCACTATGAAGCAGCCAGGAGTCTCAGGTCTTCTGGGTCGGGTCTGCTCTCTGTTCCGATAATAACAACTAAACATGGAAAAGCAGCTTTTAGTTATTATGCCCCAACAATCTGGAACAAACTGCCCAAATCGTGCATGTCCACTGAAACACTTCAGATTTTCAAATCCAGACTAAAAACGCATCTATTTGCTGCTGCTTTTTATTGAGCTGCTCATACTCACACTACAGTATGCCTTTTAATCATGTATTCTGTACCTGCTGTGTTTATTTATTTATTTGATTTAATTATCTTTGCTTTTTATGCCTGTTTTTTAAAATGCCATTTAATTATGTATTTATGCCGTATTTGTTCTTAAATGTCTTTTGTTTTTATATTGTAAAGGACTTTGAATCGTCACGTGCTGAAAGTGCTATATAAATAAAATTGCTTTGCCTTGCCTTCATTTCCATATAGTTCTATATGTTTTAAATAATGTTGTCATAATGACAATCAGAAATGTTAGTTATCACCTTCATCTTATACTTAGACAATATTGCATGATTTATCATCATCATAATTACATCAGTGTCACTTAAAACCAAATGAAAACTTGTATTAGATAACATCTCCTTTATCTAATTTGAAATGTTGTCAAGTAACATTATCTCATTTAAAGTGGATCTAATTAAATGATCAGATTCAGAAACCAAAAAAACCCTCTCCCCACTATATAATTATTAGTACTTCAATTGATGTCTATTTATTTTTTATAATAGATTGATATATGTATTTATGGATGAATACATGTTTAGACGTTGTTAATAGTGTAGAGACCCTGTATAGGGTGCTGTGTACCTACCCTCACCTATGGTCATGAAGGATGAGTCATGACCGAAAGAACGAGTTCGCAGATACAAGCGGCCGAGTTGGGTTTTCTCCGCAGGGTGGCTGGCGTCTCCCTTAGGGATAAGGTGAGAAGTTCAGTCATCCGGGAGGGACTCAGAGTTGAACCGCTCCTCCTTGGATGGATGGAATACAATATAGCAGCAACGACATATCAAGTGCAAGAGAGGACACAAGAGCTATATAAAGTGCAAGATGAGATACCCCTGTGTTAAAGTGCATTTAGCGGTGATTGCACGGATGTTTGTTTCTCAACCATTCTCTGAGTTGACCTTTGAAGCTATTGAGAGTGTGACAATCCTGTATCTCAGTTGGGAGGCTATTCCACAAAGAGCTGCCTTTAATGGAAAGGACATTTTGTCCAAAAGTGGTCCGTCTACAGTGGACTTCACAGTCTCCTCTGGTTTCTGACCTAGTACAGCGTCCAGTGTGTTTTTTGTTGATGAATTCCCCTAAAGGAGGAGGGGCCAGTCCATGTAAACATTTATAAAAAAAAACGTAAAAGACTTAAAATTGTCAAAACTCAAGAAATTGTGTTTTTCAAGGGTGGTACAGTGGTGGTAGGAATTTGGCTTTCTGTCAAAAACCTTGATAGCTCTCTTGTATATCTGTTCTATTGGTTTCAAGTTTGTGGCACAAGCAAACGACCAGTTTGTAAAACAGTATTCAATATGGGATATAATCATACAGTGGAGGTATGAAATTGACAGTTAAGAAAGGTCTAATTTGTTTAAAATGTTGCAAGTTCAATTTAATGGTATTGGATACTTTCTTAATATGTTTCTTAAAATTAAATTGAACTTGCAACATTTTAAACAAATTAGACCTTTCTTAACTGTCAATTTCATACCTCCANGCAGTGAAGGACAGTTTGTTATCTAGGGTCACACCCAGATTCCTTGCAGTCTGAGTCGGGGAAACAACAGAGGTGCCGATTTTGATTGTTAGGTCAAGAGTGGGACAATCTTTTCCCGGAAGGAAAAGCAGTTCAGTCTTGTCAAGGTTGAGCTTGAGGTGGTGAGCAGATATCCGCTGAGAGATGTCAGCTGGACAAGCAGTGACGCGTGCGACAACCTGGGTCTCTGAGCGGGTCAAGGACAGAATTAATTGGGTGTCGTCAGCGTAGCAGTGGTATGGTTACACTCCAACATATTGTCATCCGTTAAATGCATTATGGCATCGCAAAATCAATGAAATTACAAACTCAAAGCTAAGTTAGTCGGACTTTCAATCAACAGATCAGTAGCTCAGAATTTGCTGGTTGCAGCTGTTTTTAAGTTTAAATATTAGTAGATACTTATTATCAACTATGACGACTCAATATCTTTGGGTTTTGGACAGTTTGTAGTAAAAATAAAGCGACAGAAAGAAGGTTATTGTGACCCAAGGAAGTAGACGCAGACATTTTGTGAAAGAAATATTTAAAATTGTCAGTTGCAGTCCGACAAAAATCAAACAAAGATGGCCTGATACTGATATCTCTGACTTCCTGTGAAGTGTGAGGGAACATCCCAGTCATGAGTTAAAAAATATAATTTAAGTGAGCAGATCTCTTTTAAATAAGATGTAAGTTAGAAACATTTCCCTCTGCCATGCATACAGTGAGCAGGATTAACATGTAAAATGATGCCCTGCAAAACAAAAGACTGCAGAAAGAAAAGTAACAGCTTAGCAAACGTGTGAAAGCATCCCAATCAAGTTCAAACAAACCACAAAGACGGCTCAAGATGTCTAAATAAGAACATTTCTGTTTCCTTTTTGAGTTAAATTTAGAATTATGTGTTCATTTCCAGCCCTGTAGCTGCACTGTAGCTTTATATCTAATGTTTAACTTGTCTTTTTGTAATTAGTTCTACTCTTTTAGATACTATCCCTGTGTCTTATTACATTGCCTCGTGTTTCCTTTATGTCTTCTCTTGTCTTATGTAGAGCAGTATTTGAATTGCCTTGCAGGTGAAGGAACATCAGGCAGATATTTAACTATTGAACCACAGACACTGACTCATCCTTAACTCCAGCTCTCAGCAGTGATATGATCCTAAAATCAACATTTATTCTCTGACAGCGGACCAGAGATCACAGAGGACTAATCCTTATGGGAAGTAAGCCTGGAGGATTGAGTCGACCGTTTTATATCAAAAATCCTTCTCAAACTTGTTTAAATTTCTGTATTCAATCATTATCTCAAAAGCTTGGAGTCGCCTGGAAGAGACTGTCAACCCCATATCAAAATGATATTATATATTTTCGCTCAAAAGCTATGTATAAAGTAAATGACAGGGGTCCCTCAGGGCTCTGTCCTCTGTCCCCTCCTCTTCTGTACACAAACTCGCTTGGATCTGTCATTAGCCCGCATGGTTTTTCATACCATTGCTACGCTGACGACACTCAATTAATTGTATCTTTTCCCCGTTGTGAAACCCAGGTTGTCGCACGCATCTCTGCTCGTCTAGCTGACATCTCTCAGTGGATGTCTGCTCGCCTCCTCAAGCTCAACCTTGACAAGACTGAACAGCTTTATCTTCCTGAAAAAGATTGTCCCACTCTTGACCTAACAATCAACATCGGCCCCTCTGTTGTTTCCCCGATTTAGACTTCAAGGAATCTGGGTGTGACCCTAGATAACAACCTGTCCTTCACTGCAAACATAGCTGCCACAACCGTACACCCCAGCACGTGCACTCCGCTCTGCATCAGCCAAACAGCTCACTGCACCCGCACTGCGAGGGGGACCCAAGATCCCATCAGTAAAAACACGTGGGTTTGCTATCCTGGCTCCAAAATGGTGGAATGAGCTCCCCATTGACATCAGGACAGCAGAAAGCTTACACATCTTCCGGCGCAGACTGNGTCGTTTACTGAACATCATGCATACTGTTTTTTTTTGCATTTAACTGTAAGCAAATGTTGTTCAGCCAGTGTTGAACCTTGTCCAAAGCGTTTGAGAGAGAGGATGAGATAATTTCAGTGTTACATTACATTACATTGCATTTAGCTGACGCTTTTATCCAAAGCGACTTACAATAAGTGCGTTCGACCAACAAAATACAAACTTGAAGAAAACAGAATCATATAAGTACATCAGGTTTCATAGAGCTAAAACATTTTTCCCATGTACAAAGATGACCGCATCATCGGCATACATTTGCACATTCAACTCAGGACATACATTAGGCGAGTCATTAATGTACAGAGAAAACAGTAATGGTCCAAGAATGGGGGATTTGGCACCGTTGACCAAAACACACTGTTTTCTGTTCGATAAGTAAGACTTAACACACTGTATTGAATCAGCCGAAAAATTGAAATATGTCAGCTTTGTAAGGAGCACTTGGTGGTCAACAGTGTCAAAAGCCTTACTGAGATCAAGGAAGACAGCACCTACATACAGTATGGGGCTCGTGTCCACATACATTTAACCTTTTCCACAAAGCACAGT